AGCAGGACATCGACAGTAATTCAAAGTTTCTGAAGGTTTTCTATAATTTGAGTGACCTCTGGTTTGGCTCAGTTGAAAAGAACAACACTACAAATAGTTGCTGCTTTACTTCAAGTCATAAAATGCTGAAAAACAATACAATCACACAGATGTAAGCACATTTCTTTTTGACAAAATAAAATGCATTTGGAGGGCTCCAAATATTCACACAGTAAACGGTTGACTGTAACAGTACTAGGTCAGACAGTTTTATAACAGGTTTGCGTGCATATATGCAGCCTTACATTGAAATAAGCAGAGGATCACTCCGGGGTATCACTGGGTAAAGACATGTCCATGTACAGTAAAAGCAGTTAGATTAGAAGAGGAGTCCTCTGTCACACATATAGACATGCATTAGTGTGGAATTACTGAAACAGCCTTTAGCAGCCAGACAGAGCTGAGTAGCACAAATGTGACTGAAGCTCCAAGGCAGGTGACCTGCTGTTCCTGTGCTCAGCACAGCTGCATGAAAGGCTGTTGTCTGCATATCAGGAGTACAGAGGCAGACAGTTCTACTACAATCATGACATGTTAATAACCAATAACAGATTAAGTGCAGTTAACTCGAGTAAAGCTCTGACAGAGCACGGCTGCAGTTGTCTCTTCCTGTAGATGAGCATTGTTCTCGTACTTCCAGTTAAGTCTGGATGTAAAATCCATTTACTCTCAGAGGGCAGTTGTCGTACATCCCTGGACACTGGTTCCAGCTGGACCAGCTACAGTGAACAGACTGTGCACACAACTTACCACAGGCTAGTTCGGTAAATAAAGCCAGTACAAACTGAGGCGTTGTAGAGACATCAGGATAATGTCTTGTATGTTTTGCTTGGCTGCGGATATCACAGGGAAGTGTTAGGCTTATGAAGTTAGCTGAACTTAATTAAATTTATAAAGCCTGTCAACTATTGCCTACTTTTAATCTTTTATTGCTTGGTCATTTTACAAACAATGATTAGTTTATCACCAACATGACAAGTGTTAAGCAGTTGGTTATTTTGTGTTATGAAAGTCATAATTCAAATGTTTTACTTATTTTCATACAATGTGTTTTATACTACCCAATTCAGATGAATTACAGATGAAAATAGTCCAGATAAAAAGCTGCTTAAAAGTGGTGTACCTACTGCAATCCAAAAAAGGCTGAATGAGACATGGCCACATAACATAATGTAGAACATCTAAGTCATGCTGCACAAACTGACAGCAGGTTTTATTTACCCGGCAAGAAGATACCAGCTACATCTGATCCTGTGGGTCAGGGAGAGTGTCTGCTGTGGGAATTGACCAATGAGATATCAAAAGGTGTGATGAGGAATAATGTGCATTTGGAATATCAGAACTTCAATGTGCTGTGTCCACAGACTTACTGTATTGTTCTCACTGTATAAAACAGTTAAAGCTACATATCCTGAACTAATCTTGGGAATGTTGTGGAATTGGCTGGGTGGAGCATCTCTAGCCCTCCCGTGCCGTGACCCGTGGCTCAGCCAGTGAGCTGTGGATGATGCTACTGATGGACTCCACCCCCTGTCCTTCCAGGAAGGTGCGGTGGTCTCCCTCAATGACGTGGACTGACACCTTGCCATCACAAACCTGAAGACGGGGGAGATGGGGCTTAGTCGGCATTTAAGAAGGAAGAGGCTTAGTAATGGGACCTCAAACTAAGATTACTTAGTCAAACTACTACTTCAAAGGTTTCACGCTTCACTTTTAAAAAGACACTCCTGAACTTACCTCACTGAGCTTGTAGTCAGCTCCCAGGTTCTGTTCGTATTCGCTGCTGGTTTTGGCGCGTAGTAGCATCACATCACCGTGGTATTTTGTCGCTGGTACATAGCCATCGGCGGCCTTTAGCTTGTAGTAGAAGGTAGTGGCTGCAAAGTGCAGAGAATCTCGGCTGATGTTCTTGTAGCTGGAGGTGATCAGGTCCACCGCCACATTGGCTCGGGCCTCCAGGTCCGGCAGTGAGAGAAGAGTCTCCAGAAGCTGCAGAAGGCGACATCATGAGCAGTTACAGCTACAGGAGTGTAGGTGTTAAAGCAGCGTATAGTAACAGACCAGGCCAGAGAAGAGGAGGCAAACCAGGACAGACACACCTGGTACTGTCTCACATCTCTCCTGTCTGCAACTGTGTGTACACGTGTCAGAGACTGTGTACCTTGTTGTACTCGATGCCAGTGAACTGCTGGATAAAGGCACACATGGCTTCAGTTTCAGCCTCAGACTCGTTCCCTGGTGTCAGCTTGGCTCTGTAGCTCTGAAACACAGTTACCTTGACTTAATCAGCCTTGAGTTACTAAACTACATCATTCAATGTACATATTCATTTTATAAAACATGTTGTTCATATTATGGTTTATTTATGATCATGTTAGAATGTTTATTTAGTGCAGTATAACGTGTGAAATACTTCAATGAAAAGTTAAAGGACAGGGACAGTGATTTTCTGTTTATTTTTCATAAATCCCACACAGTGAATAAAAACAGCAATGAACTGATGTACAGCCTGTAATGTCTAAATCTGAACCTGGTTTAGCTCATTCATCTCTCCTGCAGACTTCGACTGTGGTTCAGCTAGAATTGCTTCTGGATTCACAGACTTCCAGTGATTACACCAAATTCATAATTACTTTTGTCCTATATGGGTGGGATGTTTAAAAGATAAAAAATAATAATTAAAAATCATTGAGCTTATCTTTTAACATGTCCCTGATATTCACAGAGAAATGTGAAAATTCCAAAACACACCATTACACTAGGTCATGGTGGCTTCTCACTTTGCATCAACTTTCATCAGTTTATGAAGTACAACTGAACTGAACCTATATGAACATTCGCATTGCTTCATATTATGTTAAGATATAATCCAAGAACAGAGTCAGCCAAGGAGACATTTATTAACAGTGAACTAATCCCATTATAAGTCACATTGTAAGTACCTTGAGCATGTATTCGAGTGCTCTCTCTCACCTGTGTGTACGCTGCAACATAGGAGTGTGATCCATCAAACAGAAAGAGGTACTCCACAGGCTGGTTCTGGGTCTGCAGCTGAGAGCACATCTCAAACGCCACGCAAGCGCCGAAGGAGTAGCCAGCGATTCGATATGGCCCTTCTGGCTGAACCTGTCTGATGCAGCCCACGTAGTAGGCTGCCAGCGACTGGATGCTGTCCAGAGGAGCAGCTGGGGAGAAGGGATGAGATGAAGACATTCTGACCACTTCTTACACCTCCTTAGTGTTACTGTAATACTGTACCCTCCCAGTTTTGGACGAGGGCCAACTCTCCCTGCTGTGTATTTGAATCTCCTAAGTCACTTTGGACAAAAGCATCTGCTATATGAATGTAATGTAATTTACTAGTTGTTATTTCTTCTCTCAGCCTTCTATGAGCATTAACTAGTGTGCTTGTCCACAGTAAATTTACCTTTTGTGCACTGCAGGCCATAGCAAGGCATGTTAAGCTTGGAGGCAAGTGCCTTAAAGGCACTAGTGGAGCCCTCAATGGGATGGACCAGGAACAGTGGCCTCTCCTGGCTCTGGACCTTGTTGAGTGGTGTCACTGTGGGATCGTCTGGATTGACTAGCAGCTGGGTCAGATTGGACTCGAGCAGAGAGTGAACACCATCCCTCTTAGGTACAGCAAGCTGAGCTTCTGGGAGCACCAAAGACCAAAAAAAAAAAAAAACTCATTCTGTCAAAAGTATGTTTAAGTACTGATTTATATAACTGTATCTATGTATTTTATATGTACATAATGTACAAAACACCTAAAACAAAATTTAAAGAGGCTTGTTTTTTTTTTCCTTCTCTTTCTTAATAATACCATTTGATCCTCCGGGCTGGGTACTGGCCAGCTCTCGCAGCTTATTGATGGTGAGCTGGCGAATCTCTCTCATGGCCATGACAATATCATAGTCACGCTCCAGAGTTTGGCGAACCTCCACGCCCATCAGGGAGTCTAGGCCCAGGTCAGCCAATGATGTTTCTGCGTTCAAGCTGTTCACATCCCGCACACCTGAGGACGAAGGCCACAGTGAAAGTTGTCTGAGTTTGACCTGATCAAATGTAGTTCAAGAAACTCTCTCTCTTTGGTCTATAATGAATAAACGATCTAAAACCACCAATAAGCAATAGTAAGGTCTAGACTGTACTTTGAGATGAGATTACTTTTGTTGTGATTTGGTGCTATACAAATAAAATTGAATTGAAACTGATGTTCGCACCATCCCCCCCCCCCCAAATCCAGGTTTTAAACTAAATATTAAAAAAGCCTCTGTTTAATTCACTATTAACTTCCTCAGTGTTTCTTGGAAAAAATAAACAATGAAATTACAGAACAGAGAGAGAACGTTAACACTGGTACCTAAAGAGCCTTTTAGCAAGTGAAAGCAGGTCAGCTGCAGTGGAATAATGCAAACTTTGATAACTAACATGCACAGACCTCATGTACATGAAGAGCTCCTTTTCCAAATTAGTAATGAATGAGTATTTACTTGGGGTTAAATGGAGGAGTTGAAACACTACCCAACACCTCTTCTTCTTCTTTCGGCTGTTCCCGTTAGGGGTCGCCACAGTGAATCATCTGTTTCCACCTAACTCTATCCTCAGCATCCTCTACTCTCACCCCAGTTAACTTCATGTCCTCTTTTAGCACATCCATATATCTCCTCTTTGGCCTTCCTCTTGACCTCTTGCCTGGCAGCTCCATCTCCAACATCCTTCTACCAATATAACCACTATCCCTCCTCTGCACATGTCCAAACCATCTCAATCTGGCCTCTCTGACCTTGTCCCCAAAACAGAAGACCTGAGCTGTCCCTCTGATGTGCTCATTCCTAATCCTGTCCATCCTGGTC